AAAAAATTCAGAAGGTTTGCAAGATTGGTATTGTTATGATTAGTGGTGACAAATTCTAGTGAAAAGAATGTGGTTTTTCTCTCCAGGTTGATCTTGTTAGTGACGTGTTGAAGCCTACATATAAGGTATGAGTTCTTCTTAAATTTTCGAATAGTTCACCACTCAAGATATTGGTGGGACCAAGGGTGATTACCACACATGAAGACTGTAACTATATTGGTAAAGCTGGAAGGTTCAAGAAGTGAGAATCTAGTAAAGATTTCGCAGAGAGTTCACTATAAAGGCTGTGTACAAGTCAAGATCCAGATATGAGATTTATTTTTCTTAGAATTATTATGGATTAGCGATTGTATGAACTCATGTAATATTTGTCAAAACACAGTGGAAGAATAACTTTCAATGAGAAACTATTGGAGAGTGGAGTAAGCTCCTGCGAGGACGATATAACTGAACCACTATACATTTTAGTGTACCCTCTCTCTCTCTCTCTCTCTCTCTCTCTCTCTATATATATATATATATATATATATATATATATATATATATATATATATATATATATATATATATATATATATATATATATATATATATATATATATATATATATATATATATATATATATATATATATATATATATATATATATATATATATATATATATATATATATATATATATATATAAATTTTTTATAGGCTATTGCATGTTTAGATTTTTCGTTGCTTAGCGTAGTTTATCGTTAGTTCCTATTGGTAGCGATTTATTAGTAAGTGTAGGTTTTGTTAGAATCATAACATATTTGTGCTTTAGTGCTGATTAAATTCTAAGAATGGTAGTGTTTGAATTTTGTAGTAATTTTTATTTTGTAAGGGATACATCTCGTGTGAATTATAAAGTATCTATTCAATATAGCTTGGAATTGTGTGTGTTTTTTTCTTGGAGAAATCTTAGGATAATTGTGAATTTTTGTATAATTAGAGTTGTGATTCCTTTCAAAATAAGCATAACATCTCTATTTTTTCAAATCAAATTCCGCATCGCAAACTCATATTTTTTATTTTGAAAAGCATTTAGATTTTTCAAAAGGGTCTATTCACCCCCTCTATACTATTTCTCTACTCCATATTCCTACTCAACAATTGACCTAAGAGTTGGTATTTTGATCAAGTATAAGTGACTCAAAAGTTTGGGAATATGGATAACGATGACGATCTAAAGGAAGCGTATAATAGAGAACCCATTTTTAAAGGCGAGAATTATGATTATTGGAAAGAAAACATGTATGTACATTTACTTTCAGTTGACAAAAATCTATTGGTAACAGTCATTGAAGGTACTTTTATGCCAAATAAAAAGAAAGTGTTAGATATATAATATGTTGTACTTATATGAGTTCAATGCCTTTGTCATCGCATTACCCTAATTTAAGCATTTTATCATTTTGTTTTTTATTATCATATGTACTAAAGTCCTTGTAATATATATATATATATATATATATATATATATATATATATATATATATATATATATATATATATATATATATATATATATATATATATATATATATATATATATATATATATATATATATATATATATATATATATATATATATATATATATATATATATATATATATATATATATATATATATATATATATATATATATATATATATATATATATATATTCCTAATTCTTTATTCTTCTTCAACTGCACACATCTCACAAGACTTCTAAAGTCTCCAAGATCCAAGATCTTGAGTTGAATTAGTTTCGCAGATGACAAGCACACTAAACTCCTTTTTAGTAGCAATCTTAACTCTATCCCACTGAGATTACCTTTTTTGATCTTTGAATTGATGATTGATGCTAGAAACTCTAAATCCCATATGAAGAATAAACAACAAAACAACTCAGCCTTATCCAACTAGGTGGTGTCAGTTACAAGGATCAATTTTCACCATAATGTTATATCAAAGACCATACTTCTATCCAAACCATTAATATTAATATCTTTATTAATAACTTCTCTTATAATCAGATAAAAAGTTTCATTCTTTCTTTGGGAACTTAAGTACTCATTTGATTAAATTGTTTATGGAAAGAGAAGAACATTATTTCAAGTGTTTGAAAAAAATGTCAAACATATTTGTACCAAAAAATTATTTCATCTATCTATCTGTTATAAACTTGTTTATCAGGTTGTGATGACAAGTGTGTGAAAGAGAAAGTACAATTCTTTCTCTTAGATTGAAATCAAGGAAGTAATGCACTTCTTTTTTATTGTTAGAAGAATGTAGGGGAAGTTTTGGTGTGAGGCTTTTACAAAGATCTAACAATAGTAAAATCTCTCATAGGGTGTCGGAGGACTAGATGTACTCTTGGTTGATAAGGGGAACTAGTATAATTTCTTTTGTTCATTTACTTTATTACATTTATTTTCGGCATATCACTTCAATCTTTTAAACTAGAAAAATAATTCATCACTTCACTTTCATAAAATAGTAAAAGTAAAACTAGTAAAATTGCAAGGCAATTTTTTTTTTTTTTTTTACTTTTTTTAAAAAATTTTGAATACCTAATTCACCCTTCCCTCTTAGTTGCACTCTCATACTTACACCTCGACCCTTTTCCATTTCTTCAACCAAGAACTTTTCTTCATAGTTAATTTAGAGTTGCACTCTAAAAAAAATACCATTTAAGCTTCTAGCCCCCTTTAACCCCAACTCTTCACAAAACATATAGTGTTTCCTTAGTCATTTCTCAAATATCCAACACTTTAGCCCATCATTTGTTCTCGTACCTCTATTGTCGCATGGTTTCTTTTTCTTTTGTTGGATTCTGCTAAAGATGAAAATAGTTGTGAGTTTCTGATTTCGTACGTTGAATTGGGAGGTAAAAGAATCACAAAGTTCCTTTCAAGAGTTGATGTACCAGTTTGTAAGGGTCTTAAACCATGTCATAGTGAATCCTTTGAAGGCTAAGACAAAGAATTTTCTTTTTATTTTACCCTGAGTGTAGTTATAATTGAGAATAGTGTCCACATGTACCATGTGTTCATCTGAACTCCATGTCCTGTCATATATGTCCATCTTTTTTTTTTCGTGGGGGGGGGGGGTTTAAGAAATTCTAGGATCCATCTATCGAGATGCGTTTGGAAAACCTGTTTTTTTCTTTGACCAAAAATTTATGTTTTGCCAATGGGTTAGTCTTCCATATGGAGTAGTGCGAGGGTGATTATTGGGGATGATGTGGTTCTAGAAGAGTACGCTTGACACCTCAACCCTCGGGACCATGTAGAGGAGATCAAAGTCCTCGATGTTAAAGGCGATCAGGGGATTTAGAAGTAGTTAGGTGTGGAGAAACTATATCATTTAGGATAAGTTAAGGGCGGTTTTTTAGTTGCTGTGCAACATCGCGTCACACATAGAGTGGTCTCAATGAAGAATGTACTGTAAATTTTCCTCAATCCCGAGGAGTCATGGGATAATAAGTGTCATTTTTATTACTACACCAAGTTGTAGATGTTGTTAGGTAGTTCACTCACTCCTTGCATTCCTAGGTCAACTTGGAGTTGTTGGAGGCTTTGAAGTATCTCTGGAACATGAATTTTTGGTTGCAATTGAGGCTATTTGAAAGTTTGGCCTTGAAGCACCTATTTAGGAGGTTGAAAGATTGATAAAAATCTGAAAGTACTCTAGCTGATGGTCGGAGAATTTAGAATAAGAGAAGAAAAAATAAAAGGAGAAGTTACTAAGACTGGTTCAACTTCTTATGTTAGAGGAGGTGGAGCCTTTTCGACGAGATCAAAAGCGTTAACCGTCGCTACATTAGCGACAACTTTCCATTGAGCAACTAGTCGAGTAGATTTTGACGTTGCCATAGTTTGAACAAAATCGATTGAGAGCTATAGTAGAACCAAGATCGGTGGAGTAGCGGTGAAGAGACAATTATCATTTTGGGAATTTGAGTGAATTAGATGTTGATTTCCACTAACGACGTCATTATTTCGAGGTGGAACGAGAAATACATAATGCCAACGGAAAAAGCTCTTCTGATGTAGCGGAGCAGGGATGACCTGCAAGGTTAACAATCTAACACCCAAAGTCAGTTAAATTGTTAAGATGTAGTTTGAGAGTGACAGTGAGATAATACCTGCAATGACACCTCATTGGACTTATAAATGCTAGTTTGTTGAAACCCTTTCCTCTAATCCAACGTGAGATACAGGGAGTCGTTCAATCAGATCCAGCAGAGATGAGATCAAATGTCCGACTTTTGACGAGATCCTAATTGTTTCCTTGTCTGTTGTGTGAATAGTTCAGAATGAACTTTATAATTAAGTTTTTTTTTTTTTGGCATCTCGTTAGTCTGAAACAATAATTAATATTATAATTTAAATGATTGTAAAATCAAATTTGTACAATGTAAATAACTAGTAATCTTTCATAGATAGTACATTGTTACCAAACGTGTATGATCATCATTTGTATTCATTGTTTATTTGTTTGAGCCGAGTTGATGTTCTAACAATTTACTTAGGTCATGAGTGTTGCCCCACATGACTTAACACATAGAGTGTGATCTAACTGACTCATAAAAATGGATGGCCATTCACCTAATTCATTTTCTCAATAAAACATTACAAATATTGCCACGTGGAATCCATATCGTTCATGCATACACACACACAACAAATAAGAATATCCAATGTCGTACCTATTATTAATCCTATTACTAAAAGGAGCTCACGTGTGAGTTTGATGATGATATCAATTCTTACACGCTTCAAATTCAATCAAAAAAGTTGCTCTAATTGAAGTTTTCAGGACAATTCTCTATGAAGTGGAGGCCTATAAATACAATTGAAGGCATGACGTTTTACACTTAAGAGAAACAACACACACATTCAATTGTTCTTCTCTTCCTCTTCCTTTGTACACAATTCTATTTCTAGTTTTTGTGTACCATAACATAGTACTAGGAATGGAAGGAGATAAATGTTGTTCAAGTCTATTTCAAAGGTGCAAGCCATACATAGCTATGATTTCTCTACAGTTTGGTTTTGCTGGTATGAATATAATAACAAAAGTTTCACTCAACCGTGGAATGAGTCATTACGTTCTTGTTGTTTATAGACATGCTTTTGCTACCGCAGCTATTGCACCTTTTGCTATTGTTCTTGAGAGGTATATATATATCCATCATTCATTCACTCAGACTGATTTTTCTTTATAAGAAAGCAATTTTCTGATCATTCCTTGTTTCTTGTCATTGGCAGGAAGATAAGGCCAAGGATTTCATTTCTTATGTTCATGCAAATGTTCGTCTTGGGACTCCTCGGGTTAGTACTTCCCTCGCTCTAGAAACCGGTGTTTTTAATGGACTCAGATTCAAAGAATATTAAAAATTTTGTTGTTTTGTTTAGGCCTGTGATTGATCAGAATCTATACTATGCTGGGTTGAAATTCACTTCTCCAACATATTCATGTGCTATTAGCAATATTCTTCCTGCTATGACATTCGTAATGGCTGTTATTTTCAGGTAATTTTTTACATACAAAATAAGCTAGTGATATATTCTCATCATATATATGATATATTTTTGGTATTAAATGTGTTATTTTCTCTACTTTTGATGAACTAGGATGGAGAAATTGGACATTAAAAAACTAAGATGCCAAGTAAAGGTGATTGGAACAGTGATAACAGTTGGTGGAGCTATGGTGATGACATTATACAAAGGACAAGTTATTCAAATTTTGAGTTCTCAATACATGCATCATCCTAGAGATTATGTACCTGAAAACAATACTGATTCTGGTGAAAAGGATTGGGTTAAGGGTTCAATTTTCCTCATAATTGCTACCTTTTCTTGGTCTTCTTTCTTCATCCTTCAGGCTGTTACATTAAGGAAATATTCAGCGCAACTCTCACTCACAGCGATAGTATGTTTCTTAGGCACACTACAATCAATTGCAGTAACATTTGTCATGGAGACTAAGCCAAATGTCTGGAACATTGGTTGGGACATGAATTTGTTAGCCGCGGCGTATGCTGTAAGTGTCTCTCCCTTGATATCAAAGTTTTAAATTTCAGGGTACATATTAATGAATGGAGTTAAACATTGATGAACACACAGGGTATAATATCATCAGGCCTTACATATTATGTTCAAGGAATTGTGATGCAAAAGAAAGGACCAGTTTTCGTCACTGCTTTCAGTCCTTTGATGATGATCATTGTAGCTATCATGGGCACTTTCATCCTTGCTGAAAAACTATACCTTGGAGGGTAAGGACATATTATAATATAAAGTTTTGCCTTTTCTATTTTGATATATTTGAAAGAAAAAAGATGATGACAAATGTGAAAAATGCAGCCACAATTAGAATTGTGATGCTGATATATCTAAAACTTTAATATTGCATCACAACTGGACCACAAATTTAATTCAATCCAATGAACATATTGAGAAAGATTCTTTGCTTTCATGCTGTTTCTTCTCAATACTACTTTGTATTATTTTCTTATCATAAAACCGAAAACAAAATGATGCATTAAAAAGGAAACATCACAATCCTAAAAAAGCACAAGTGGTGAACAATTTGGTTCCATTATTGATTGATTTTATTTAATTTGTGATTGCAGTGTTATTGGAGCAATTTTGATCGTAATAGGACTTTACTCAGTTTTATGGGGCAAAAACAAAGAAAACAAAGAGATTGAAGCAGAGAGAATAACAGAAGAAATCAAGTGTTGTGCAGACAAAGGAGTGTTGGAAACAGTGATTGAAGGTGTTGAAATAAATGACATTGAAATGCAAAAGGATGATGAACCTACTAAAGTCTTAAGTGTGACAATTATTAGTGCTCCAAAAAGTTTAAACCTGTAGATATATATTATTAAGAGAAAAATAACAACAGCAAAAAAGTGCAATGAAAAAAGGGTCACTTAGAGTTGAGAAATTTGGAAGGATTTTTGTGATGTGCATCCTCATCATCACTTTACTATCTTTTTTGGGAAAACTTTGCTAAAGCATTTTTGGTGGCTGATTAAGACCATTTAGTGTGGACAGCAGGTGCAGATAAGAATCTGAGTTTTTAGGTTGATGTAGAGTTATAGTTAACATTTGTTTTTTTTTTTTCTAATTAGTTATTAGTTCTCAATCTACTTCACATTTTAGTTGCAAGTTAGTTACATAGTTATAAATACTTGTGTTTCTCTTTTGATTTAGTACAACAAAAATCAATTCTACATGTTTGCATTACTTTTCAATGGTGAAACTCTTGTGTAATTCGAAGAAAATATTTTTATAGAGAATGGTTTCATAAACAACTGAACTGTAAAACTTATTAATAAACTAATTAAAGGTGAGAAAAATGAGAATATTGGAGATGCTTTAACTACACTAATAATCACTTGTAACACTCTATTGATTCAATATACAAGCAAAGTTAATTCTACCGTTCACATTCTTTTGTCTATTTTTCCCATGAAAATTAGAGGTTATTAGACTATTTTTCTATGAAAATTAGAGGTTATTCATCACATCTATAACTGTGAAGAGTCACTTTATGAAATTTGAAAATGCTTTCGGTATAGTCAGAAAGTCAATTTGAAGGCGTCTCTGATATTCACCAAAACACTTTGTAAGTATGTTATTTCTATTTTGTAAAAAAAAAAAAAGAAGCTCTCGACATAGTCTGAAAGTCAATTTGAAGACGTCTCTGATATTCAGCAAAACACTTTGTAAGTAAGTTATTTTCATTTTGTAAAAAAATAGTCAGAAGCCAATCTCCAGATTGATTGAAGGGTGTGTTTGTAGGTTAAGTTTTAGACTAACTTCAGAAAACATTTTGAACTCAAGATAGTGTATTTATTTCACAATTCAGTGGATAATTCGAAAATTAACTTCAGTACTAACCCTCAGTACAACAAGTTTCCCTCTTTGATAGTAAGTTTGTTATAAATTTGACAGTAAGTTTCTCTCTAGGACAGGTTGAAATTTTGAGGTTTCTGGGGGAACAGCGAGGGACTCATGCCTCTCAGGAGATGATGCCGGAGACACGTGAACTCAAGAAGATGGTGCTTCTGCTTCAAATGAAGTAGCACCAATGATTAGACATGAGGGTCTAGCTTTTTTCCTCCGAAAGAAAACATGTTAGGTAACTCTACTATGTCTCATTCTTCCTTCGTTGTCATATATTTTACCTTTAATTAAACTAGAACAATCTTATCATTATCAAAGAAGTCAAACCCTATAAGATAATGGAATGCTTACTTTTCTTCATTCACGTGAATATAATATACATATACATCAATGTGTAACGTTTGGTCAACAATCTAATTATGGTACAACATAATTATCGAAAACTAATAATAATAAATCATTAAAAATATAGTATGTTCTATCACACCCCAGCAGTCGAAGTGGCGTTCACGGACGCTCAAATTGGTTTGAAAATCATCCAAGATAATGCAAGGAAGCCCTTTGGTGAATATGTCAGCAATCTGATGTCGGGAGGAAACATGAAGAATGCCTTCCTGACCACGAGCTACTTTTTCCGAACAAAATAAATGTCCATCTCAATATGTTTGATATGCTGATGTTGCATATAATACAAAGAAATAAATGTCACTAACATTGTCAAAATACACCAAAGTGACCCGAGGAATAGAAAAATGGAGCTCCATAAGAAGATTATGAATCTGACATGACTCAGATACAACATTAGTAACAACTCTATATTAGGCTTCAACACTAGAGCGAGAGAGAGGGTTGCCCTTTGGAAGACCAATAGATAAGGTTGTCACCTAGAAAAACACAGTAGCCAAATGTGGAGCTTCCGGTGTCTGGACATCCACTTGAATCAACATCAATGTAGGAGATAAGTTGTGTGATGGGGGATGGTGATAAATGTAATCTAAACTGTATTGTACTCTGAACATAGCACAAAATGCGCTTGAGAGTAAGCATGTGTTTCGTGCGAGGTGTATGCATGTGAAGACAAACTTGCAAAACTGTATATGATATGTCAGATCGAGTAAAGGTGAGATACTATAAAGCCCCTTTAAGTCTCCGATATAGAGATAGATCATCATAAGGCACGCCGAAGGAGGTTCTAAGTTTCTAATTGGTGTCAACAAGAGTGGCAGATGGTTTTCAGAATGCCATGCAAGCACGTTCAATGATCTTTGAGGCATACGTGATTTGACTAAAAAAGATGCCACTAGGATAACAATATATAGAAATACCCAAAAACTAACTCAGAGGACTCAAATCCTTCATCGTAAACTTAGATGCTAAGAGTGACATAATTGATTTGCAAAGGGCATGAGTAAAGGTGAAAAGTATGATGTTGTTTACATATAGAAGAATGTAGGCCATGTCGAAACTTTGTCGATATATGAAGAGGGAATGATCTGATGTGCTATGGTGGAGACATAATCAGCAAAACATCGGTACCACGCTCTGGGCGCTAGCTTGAGACCATAAATTAACTTCTTCATACAACAAACATATTTTTGATGATGAGGGTCGTGGAAACCCAATGTCTGATGCATGTAGATAGTCTCATGGAGATCACCATATAAAAATGTATTATGTACATCCAATTTATGAACGAGCAAGGATTTTGATTAAGCAATGATAAGCATTATGCGAATGATAGCTGGTTTCACCATAGGGATGAAAAACTGATCACAATCCACACTTGCAACCTGTGACCTGCCATCACCTACAAGACGAGCCTTATAATTCTCAAAGGAGTAATTAGAACTTTTCTTATGCCTAAAAATCCACATAGATCAAATAATATTAACATCACAAGGACGAGGAACTAAATCTCACATCTTATTTCTAACAAGAGCATAAAATTCAAATTGCATTGCGGATTTCCAATTTGGGTCGGATAAGGCTAATTTGGGGGTTTTTAGGTATGAGAAAGATGGTTTGGTCAGGTTGACAGACTGATAGGGTAAATATCTTATGGGGTTTAACAATGCCTTTCATGCTACGAATGATGATGGTTCGTATAGGTGGAGATGGAGGTGGTTGGATGGGTGGTGGTAAGGGAGAAGAGGTTGTAGTGGGCGAGTTAATCAGGGATTTATGAGATGATAATTGTTGGTTGCTGCATGAGGGTGACTAGTCAATTATAGTTGCTGGTGTTTGTTGGGTATGTGCAATAGGTGGTAATATTTGATTTTTCCACAAATGTACCAAGTATGGGTGTAGGTCATCATTTAGGAAGTTATAAGAGTGAGGGGGAGGATAGTGTATTTTGGTGAAAGGAAATTGAGTTTCATCAAAGATAATAAGTCTCACAATTGTTAATTTTCTGTTTGGCAAATTATAACACTTGTAGCCTCTATGATTCAACGGATAACCCAAGAAGACACATGGAGTAGAGCGAGGTTGTAACTTATGAATGTTAGAGAACGAGAATAATGGACAATATAGACAACCAAAAACTCATAGATGTATGTTTGTGGGATTTCGGTGATATAAGAGTTGTGTTGGTAACTGATTTTGAAGTGTTTTATAGGGAAGAATGTTTGAAAGATAAGTTTTCATGTAATAACATGATGCTAAAATGATGTGGGAACGAAAGAATGAGTTAGCATAATGCATATCATATTATTAATGGTTATTATTTTACGTTCCTCTTTCCTCTTTTGTGAGAATGTGTGGGGTCAAGAGAAACAAAAAATAAGGCCACGAACAACGCAATATTTTTGAAACAGTTCATTATTATATTCTCCACCATTTTCACATTGAAAAGATTTTACCATTTGTAAAAATTGTGTCTGAATAAGTGTTGCAAGTGACTTGAACGTTTCAAATACTTGAGCTTTTCTGCTAATAGGAATGGTCCACAAGAAATTTGTAAAATCATGTAAACGTTGTACATAATATTTATGACCAATAGGACTTACAATTGGAGACGTTCATAAATCACTATGTAAAATATCAAATTGCATCAAAGTTGTAGTTAGAGAATTAGAAAATGGATATTTAACCTATTTGCCTAAAACACAAGAGTCACAAATAATAGAAAAATTAAAAGGTTCACAACAAATGAACTTATTTTTAGGAAGGAATTTTTAAACAGACATGCCAGGGTGACCAAGGCAAGTGTGCTAGAGACTGGATGTAAGACCACAAAACCTGGATGGAGTGATGATAAGATATAGATTAACATGGATGACACATCTCATGAGAGGGAACCCATCTGAAAATCAGATACAGTAAAACTAAAAGGGTCAAAGGAACCAAAGATATTGTTTTCAATGGTGAGGCGTCCCACAAAAATTAAATTTTTAATAATTTTTTGGACATGTAGGACATGGTTTAAGTGAAAGAGTTAGTGATATGTGGCTATTTGTGTGTGTCTGGTGTCGTGAATTGGAATTCTTTGGCCACTTCCAACAATAACTTTATGATTTGAATTACTTAAAGAATAATGAGATTACCTTGTGATGCAGCCATGTGAAATGTTGCGCCAGCATCCATGTACCACTGATTGTCAAGAGTGTGAAGTAACATCGTGTGCACAATAACCTCAATGTCTGTCAGTGTCTGAGATGATGTAGTAGCTACATATGCCTGAGGGAGTTGTCCTAGAATGCCTGGCTACTTCAGAGTACTAGTAGGGTGTGTCCGTTAAGATGAGGGATACAGGAACGGAGGCATAACCCATGGTTGCGGAGTCCAACCCCATGGTTGCAAGGATGAGTACTACTGTTGATGCCAAGGACAAGAGGACCATGGCGGAGGCATTGTGAGATCCAGGATGAGGACCATGACGATAAACAGGTTCCCCACGTCGGCCCTAGTTTTCGTGAAAGGGAGAGAGAGAGAGAGAGAGAGAGAGAGAAAGAGAGAGAACA